CTCCGTTTGTTCTTTGCTTATTCAGCACAGGATCTCCACCAACCCACCCACCGCTGCTCTTCTAAGTTTCTGACTCTTTTAAGGGCAACAAACAAGGGTGTGTGTGTGTGTCTTCTCAGCCGGCAGGTCCAAGCCACAGCTAATGAGGGAGGGTCTGCCTGGCTCCCCCAATTCAGCCCCCCTTCAGACCTTTGCATAGAAATCAGATAGCACTAAGCCCCTTTCCCCACCTCCCCGTCCTCAACCAAGTCCCCACCCCTCTTTTGGAGCCTCTCTCGTATTAAGCCGCCCTGGGGAGTGGGGCTGATAGCCCATCCATTGCGCACCAAGTGGGAGCCATCAACTCTCCTGCCAGATGTTCCAGTTCCCACTTTGCTCAGGGGTGGGAGGCAGCTGGCTTTTCTGAGCAGTGCCCGCCTTCCTCTTTGCTTTAAAACCGCTATAAAATAAAATAAAATAATAATAATAAACTAATAAAATATAAAATAAAACAAAACAAATAAAAACAAAACAAAATAAAATAATAAAATAAAATAATAAAGTAAAATAAAATAAAATAAAACAAAAGAAAATAAGGATAAAAAATCTCACGCGTCTCTGTCTAGGAAAAGACCTCAGCCACTCCTGCTTCGCCCTGCCCCTTCCTCATACATCTCTCTATTATTAAAAGGTCCCTCTCTCCCAGCTGGATCAGCTGCTCAAATTAACTATTAAGTGCCCGGGATCAAAGTATAAAAGAAAAAAAAACCTCTCTGCGAAAGAAATACACGTGGCTTTGCACAGTGTTCATCGTGCAATCACTTCCTTTGTCCAGGAAAGACTTAAAAGATATTGTTTGAGGCTCCTATTTTAAAAAAAAAGATCATTTATGTATGCGTGTACAGTATGTATGATTTTATTTGTTAAATTTATTTGCTGCCTGTCTCGCCGTGGGGGTATTCTAGGCCGCAAATAAATTTAACAAATAATAAGAAAGAAAGAAAGAAAGAAAGAAAGAAAGAAAGAAAGAAAGAAAGAAAGAAAGAAAGAAAGAAAGAAAGGAAGGAAGGAACAAAAGAAAGAAAGGAAGGAAGGAAGGAAAGAAAGAAATGAAGGAAGGAACAAAAAAAGAAAGGAATGAAGGAAGGACAGAAGGAAGGAAGGAAGGAAAGGAAAGAGAAATGAAGGAAGGAAGGAAAGAAAGGAATGAATGAAGAAAGGAAAGAAGGAAGGAAAGAAGGAAAGAGAGAAAGAAAAAAAGAAAGGAAGGAAGGAAGGAAAGGAATGAATGGAAGGAAGGAAAGAAAGGAATGAAGGAAGGAAGGCAGGAAAAAAGAAAGGAAAGAAAGGAAAGAAGGAAGGAAAGAAAGGACGGAAGGAAGGAAGGAAGGAAGGAAGGAGGAAGGAAGGAATGAAGGAAGGAAGGAAGGAAAGAAAGGAATGAAGGAAGGAAGGCAGGAAAAAAGAAAGGAAAGAAAGAAAGGAAAGAAGGAAGGAAAAGAAGGAAGGAAGGAGGGAAAGGAAGGAAGGAAGGAAGGAAGGAAGGAAGGAAGGAAGGAAGGAAGGAAGGAAGGAAGGCTGGGGGATTCTGGGAGTTGTAATCTGCATTTCTTAAAGTGGTTAAGCTTCAGAAATAGCGCTTTATTATCCAAGATCAGAAGGCAATACCTTTTGGGGAGGGGAGATTAACCTATTTTACTTGAAGGCTCAAGTTTTTGGAATCCAAAGCTCATTTTATTGGGTGCTAAATTGATACAGGATTTGATGGGGGGGGGGGAACGAAAAAGAGGGGAAATACAGAGTAATTATGTAGATGCAGAATGCACGCAAAACAGATTACAAGCGTTCACTGCCAAACTGCTCCTACAGGTTGTCCTCAATTTGCGACTACAAGGGAGCCCCAAATTGACGTTGCTAAGGGAGACGTTAAGGGGGTTTTGCCCCACTTTATGACTTTTCTTCCACATTTGTTAACTGAATCGTTGCAGCGGTTCAGTTAGTGACACACGGTCACTAACTTCCCCCACCGACTCTGATTCTCAGACGCTCACAAGAAGGGATTGCGTGACCTCACGACACTGCAGCCATCATAAATGTGAGTCAGTTGTCAAGCACCCGAATATATACATCACGTGGTGCTGCAACGGTCGTTAAGTGTGAAAAACGGTCCTAAGTCCCTTTTTTCAGTGTCGTAACTTTGAACGGTCAACTAAGGAAACTGTTGAAAAATCAGGGATTACCTATAATGTATTTTTAAAAAAAACAACCAGTGTGCCGTTGTGCCCACATTAAAAATAATGACAATAAAGGTTATCTAATCTAATCTAAAAACAGTTTGTCCACATGGTTGACCGGAAGAAGACTGCAAGAGGAAGATTTAAGATTCTGAGGGAAGTCAGCTCCCCAGAGAAGGAAATATTACAAAGGCAGAAAAAATATATTTCCTCAAAAAGGATTTTTAAAAGCAGAAGCCAACCATGTCCCCAGGTCCCTCTGCCCCAAGCAGGAGCCGGCCCTATACAAATGCAGATGTAAAACCATCAGGAAAGTTGGAGCCAGAAACTCAAGAAGACAAAGACCCAAAATCTCCATACCTTACCCAAACTCTTAAGAGTCATTAGCCCAGCCCCAGGGAAGCAGGATATGACCCTTGGGACATAATAGGATTAAACCACAGATACCAAGCCCCAGAAAAGCACACTCAGACTCAGTTCAAAGTTCATGCCACAGGAACAGGAAACTATTCCAAACAAAAGGCTTTCAGAGGGTATAAAAACCTACCACCCACATGTGCTCACCCCTCTTTTTCTCTCCTCTTTCCTGCCAGAACCATCTTTCAGTCTGGCTCTTCCTAAAAAACCGCAACCATCTTCCCAAAGTAGTCGTCATGTTGTTTATTTATTCCCGGCTTGGATGAACCAGGATGAAGACTTGTTCTTTCAACAATTCTTTGTTAAGATTCTGATATTGCGGGGAAAGGACTTTTGAAGGCCCCTGTTGTAGACAGAATTTTGCTTCTATCCACTCCTTTGTAAGCTGCCTTTTCATGACCGGATTAAAAGGCCTAAAGAAATCTTGCTCACTCCGTGAAACGTAACACTGGAAGCATCAAAAAGACACCTGAAGCCCCAAGAGCTTAAAATCCCAGCGCTTTTTGAAAATACATCAACATACTTCAAGGTGCAGGATCAAGTATTTTCTCACTGACACACACACACACACAAAAAACCAAATAAATCAAATAGGGCACAGTGGTGTAGGGTTCAATGGCAGCTAAAAATGTGCATCAGCAGCTGAACGGTTTGCACAAGTAGCAAAGAGGTAACTTAGAAAAATGAATATATCCTAATCTTTAAAATGCCGAAGAAGAAGAAGGAGGAGGAGGAGGAGGAGGAGGGGGAGGAGGAGGAGGAGGAGAAGAAGAAGAAGAAGGAGGAGGAGGAGGAGGAGGAGGAGGAGAGAAGAAGAAGAGAAGAGGAAGTAAGAAGAAGAAGAAGAAGAAGAAGAAGAAGAAGAAGAAGAAGAAGAAGAAGAAGAAGAAGAAGAAGAAGAAGAAGAAGAAGAAGAAGAAGAAGGACGAAGAAGAAGAAGAAGAAGAAGAAGAAGAAGAAGAAGAAGAAGAAGAAGAAGAAGAGAAGAAGAAGAAGAAGAAGAAGAAGAAGAAGAAGGAGAGAAGAAGAGAGAGAAGAAGAAGAAGAAGAAGAAGAAGAAGAAGAAGAAGAAGAAGAAGAAGAAGAAGAAGAAGAAGAAGAAGAAGAAGAAGAAGAAGAAGAAGAAGAAGAAGAAGAAAAGAAGAAGAAGAAGAAGAAGAAGAAGAAGAAGAAGAAGAAGAAGAAGAAGAAGAAGAAGAAGAAGAAGAAGAAGAAGAAGAAGAAGAAGAAGAAGAAGAAGAAGAAGAAGAAGAAGAAGAAGAAGAAGAAGAAGAAGAAGAAGAAGAAGAAGAAGAAGAAGAAGAAGAAGAAGAAGAAGAAATTTTGAAAATTCAGTGTGGTCAACAACACAATGCTGTAAATTACACGGTTGTTATAACAAAGCTTCCTTTGATCCCAAAGCTGGATAAAATCACAAGACAACAAAAGAAGAGAGGACGGAGAGTGGAATGAGTAAAGCAGAGAATGACTGCCGAATAGATCTCACCTACTCAATATATTCATTTACTGGTAGACTAAAGTCTTCACCCTAGTGCTTAGTTTTACACTGCAGAGAGTCCACAACTTGTAACAATTTGTTTAGTGACCGTTCAAATGGAACTGCTTCAAAGGTTCTCGTGAGGCCCATGGTCATTGCAAGCTAAAACACAAAAAGCACTATCCCGTAAAAGGGTTTTGTTGCAGTAGTTGTGTAAAATAGCTACGGTGGATTAATCACATGCTTCCGACGAATCCCCAGGGCTGCTGCGCATCTTTTGACTGTTTCCTTGGATACAACTTCTAGACAAGGTAGCTGTAGTTGTGTGTCATTCGTACAGTGGGGGAAAAAATTCAGCTAATACTTAGTAAGATCGTAACTATGGGTAGTGTGTAAAATACTGAAAAACACACAAATGTTTGGCATCTCACAAAACTAAGAGATAGAATAGAACAGTGCTTCTCCAACTTGACAATGCTAAGATAGGTGGACTTCAAGTCCACCTATCTTCAAGTTGCCATGGTTGAGAAACACTGGAATAGAACATATTTATTACCATTTCTTGATGTTCCAGAGTCACCATCTCATCAAATGGCATCCTACAGACCCAGTCCAGCAAGCATCTAGTCCCTACTATCAGAATTAGATGTTAAAATGAAACCTTCTCCACGGTTGTCCCAGAAAAGCAGATGGAGAAGAAGACAGCAGATGTTTTTGAGGTAACTCCATGATAAACTGTACCATACTGATGTACTTAAAAATGCAATTTAGTCACATAACGACGAGGACACAGAGATACATTCCATCGGTTATTAGGAGGTACATTTGTCTGAAGGGCCTGCATGAACAAAGGTCCATCTCACGAAGAAAGGCAAAATATATTCCAAGCTTACCGGCCATTATCTCGACCGACGCCCCAAACTCGGATGCTGACGATGGGCTGAGAGTGAAGAATACTACGATCCATGGGGTCAACCAAATTGAGCATATCGTTCTCCAGGATAAGATACATGTCTTTTCCCTAAGTAAAAAGAGAGAGAGAGAGAGAGAGAGAGAGAGAGAGAGAGGGAGGGAGGAAGGGAGGGAGGGAGGAAGGAAGGAAGGAAGGAAGGAAGGAAGGAAGGAAGGAAGGAAGGAAGGAAGGAAGGAAGGAAGGAAAAAAAAAGAAGACTCAGCACAAATCTTTTTCAACCCACAACACTTATTTCAGAAGGAAAAGGAGGGTGTTTAAGAAAAATATAACCATGGGGTCCTGGGTGCTCTCCGAGCTGGGTGGTTTCCTTGCAGACGTTTCATGACCCAACTAGGGAACATCATCAGTGCTAGAAGGGAGTGGGGTTTGTAGAAAGGAGAGGAGGAAGAGGAGGAGGAAGAGGACTGTGGGAGGAGGAAGGAGAGGACAACAAGGAAGAGAATTGTGGGGTCCTTGGTGCTCTCTGAGCTTGGCGGTTTTCTTGCAGATGTTTCATGACCCAACTAGGTAACATCATCAGAGTGAATCCCCCCTCCCTTCTAGCACTGATTATGTTACCTAGTTGGGTCACGAAATGTCCGCAAGAAAACCACCAAGCTCAGAAAGCACCGAGGACCCCACAGTCGTCGTCATCGTCCTCCTCCTCCTCCCGTTTAGCACTGATGATGTTACCTAGTTGGGTCACGAAACGTCCGCAAGAAAACCACCAAGCTCAGAGAGCACCGAGGACACTGCTGGTAAAAATGCTCGGTAAAAATGCAGGTAACCATCATCAGTGCTAGAAGGGAGTAGGGTTTGCTGCAGGTACCCAGTGCAGCATCTAGAAGTGATGATGATTTTACCTAGACGGGTAGGGAACTCTGGGAGTTGAAGTCCACAAATTGCTAAGGTCTAAATTCAGACCCTGGTCTATATAAAAAGAAGATCACAACTTGATGTGGAGTCCAGATCCCAGAATTCTCAGCAATAGCCACAGTAGTAGGGGGATTCTGGGAGTCGAAGGTGACCCATTTGGGAGTTCCCATGCGGGAAGCACTCCCCTCAGGCTTTCCTAGAACCGTGAAGGCCTCTGGTCCCCATCACCATGACTGAGGGACGTTCCTTTCAGGGGTACAACTGGAAAGAAGCCTTCCATCTTTCCACCCAAAGTACAAACACTATCAAGAAAGTATGGGCATTATCTACACACACACACACACACACACACACACACACACACACACACACACACACAAAGACCATCTCATGGAGAAGATTGGCCTGGCCTTCAAAGCTGGGAAACCAGGTGGCCACAAAGAAAGAAGACTTAGGCCAGGGGTCTTCAAACTTGGCCCTTTGATGACTGGTGGACTTCAACTCCCAGAATTCCTCAGCCAGGCACACATGGCCAGTTAGGAATTCTGAGAGTTGAAGTCCACCAGTCATCAAAGGGCCAAGTCGGAAGACCCCTGTCTTAACTCTAACAAACAAAATGGAGGCTGGCTGAGGAATTCTGGAGTTGAAGTCCACCAGTCATCAAAGGGCCAAGTTGGAAGACCCCTGTCTTAAATCTAACAAACAAAATGGAGGCTGGCTGAGGAATTCTGGGAGTCGAAGTCCACCAGTCATCAAAGGGCCAAGTCTGAAGACCCCTGACTTAGCCAAAACGGAGACATTTCTTACCTCTCCCCAGATGCCCACGGTATCTCTTATGTCGTTTTTGCAGTACGAGAGTTGCCGGATGCAGTTGTTTACCGCCACGCTGCTTTTTCCAGGCGCCAAATCTTCTTCTCCCATCTCTACCCACCCCAAGGAACGAACAGCGAAGCACTGCAAAGACACCAGATCCCGGGAATAACGTTTTAGATCTTACGGATCTCCACCTCATGAGGTAAATATTTTCATTTTGTGAGATAGAATTCAGCAATTACCAACCGCGCTGAAAAAAAGCCACTTTCGGCCGTTTTTCACACTTGTGACCGTGCAATCCCACGATCAAAATTCAGACACTTGGCCCCTGACTCGTATTTATGACGGTTGCAATATCCCGAGGCTACGGGGTCAACTTTTGCGACTACCTGACAATCCAGACTCACTTAAGAACGGTATTACTAAAATGAACAACCTGTGGCAAGAAAGGCCGTAAAATGGGGGAGAACTCACTTAAAATCCTCCTCACTTAGCGACAGGCGTGGACGTAAGTCGAGAACTACCTCTCTTTATGCCGAAGGCGGCAGCAGAAAACATACTAAATTAATTTCAAAATGATTGAATTCGTAGTTAATTTTTGTAAGCTTGCAAAATTTATACGTCGGGTCCAAATGTTTCTTTTAATCTCCTGAGCAGTAGGTCAAAACTTTTGTCTTGTTTGTTTTATTATTCTTTCATTTTCCCACCAATTTTAGGTCTTCTGTGCATGCCGAGGCACTTTTAACCTGCAAGAAAGAATATTTCTTACGCAACGCTTGTCCTTTCCAAGCAACGTGAAATCATGAGATAATGAAATTTAGTGTAGAAAAAAACCCAAAGCTTTATACTTAGGGAGGAAAAAACCAAATGTACAGGTAGAGATTGGTCGAAACCTGGCTCAAAAACATCAACTGTGAGAGGAATCTTGGAATCCTAGTGGAAGATCAATTAAATATGAGCCAGCCGTGTGCGGCAGCAGCCAAGAAAGCTAATGCAATCCTGGGTTGTATAAACAGAGACGTAGAATCAAAATCACGTGAAGTCTTAGTACTGCTGTATAATGCCTTGGTACGATCACACTTGGAATATTGCATCCAGTTTTGGTCACCACATTACAAAAAAGATGTTGAGACTCTGGAAAGGATGCAAAGAAGAGCAACTAAGACGATTAGGGGACTGGAGGCTAGTTTGTGTCATTCATATAGTGGGGAAAAAAATCAGCTAATACTTAGTAAGGTGGTAACTATGGGTAGTGTGTAAAATACCAAAATACATATGAACAACTGTTGCTGGAATTGGGGATGTCTAGTTTAACGAAGAGAAGGACGAGGGGGGACATGATAGCAGTCTTCCAATATCTCAGGGGCTGCCCCAAAGAAGAGGGAGTCAAGCTGTTCTCCAAAGCGCCTGAAAGGCAGAATAAGAAGCAACGGATGGAAACTCATCAAGGAGAGAAGCAACCTAGAACTACGGAGAAATTTTCTGACAGTTAGAACAATTAACCAGTGGAACTCCTTGCCTCCAGAAGCGGTGAATGCTCCAACACTCGAAGTTTTTAAGAAGAGACTGGACAGCCATTTGTCTGAAATGGTATAGGATTTCCTGCCTGAGAAGGGGGTTGGACTAGATGACCTCCAAGGTTCCTTCCAACTTTTTTTAAATTGTTGTTGTTGTCTTAGATTCCAATGAAAAATTAAGCAGAATGCCCAATCTTTTTTTTTTATTTGTTCCAGTCCCCAACTAAATATTATTTTTCATCCACCTTGTACTCGTTCAAAGGTGAGACTTCATTTTTTCCCCCCTAAAGACGGGAAATTTTTAGCAGACACCATTTTCATCCCCAAATTTTATTCTCGAACGAAAGGACAATGGAGCGAATAAGATTCAACCAGAGAGAGAAAAACTCTGCAGATCAAGCAAGGACAGCAAATACCCACTTAAGGACGAAAACAATCCAACAGTAGCAAGGCCACCAAGACACGTTCAGAGAGTCTGCAACTAAAATGGATGGGACCAGCAACGGATAAAACAAAAGACATCTTTAATCATAAAATAAAAAGGAAACCATTGTTTAGGATCCGTCGTACAATCACAGCATACAGACTTGGCTGCATGATGTCATAACATGAAGAGAGGAAAAAAAGGTGCAGGCAAAGTTACCCAAAGTGGACATCAATACTCGTAGTCCTCTACTTACAACAATCATCAGTGCCAGAAGGGAATAGAGTTTGCAGAGTGGAGGAGGAGGAGGAGGACTGTTCTCTGCACTTGGTTGTTTTCTTACAGACATTTTATTACTCAAGGGGAAGGAAGGAAGGAAGGAAGGAAGGAAGGAAGGAAGGAAGGAAGGAAGGAAGGAAGGAAGGAAGGAAGGAAGGAAGGAAGGAAGGAAGGGAAAAAAAAGAACGCTGCTTGTCTTAACCCTATCCCAACGAAAGAAAGAAAGAAAGAAGAAAGGAAGGAAGGAAGAGAGAGAGAGGAAGGAAGAAAGAGAGAGAGAGGAAGGAAGGAAGGAGAAAGAGAAAGGAGGGAAGGAAGGAAGGAAGGAAGGAAGGAAAGAAGAAAGAAAAAGAAAGAAAGAAAGGGAGAGAGAAAGGAGGGAAGGAAGGAAGGAAGGAAGAGAGAGAAAGGAAGGGAAGGGAGAAAGAGAAAGGAAGAAAGGAAGGAAGGGAAGAAAGAAAGAAAGAAAGAAAGAAAGAAAGAAAGGAATGAAGGGAGAGAGAAAGCAGGGAAGGAAGGAAGAAGGAAGGAAGGAAAGGAGAGAAATGAAGGGAGAGGAAGGAAGGAAGGAAGGAAGGAAAGGAAAGGAAAGGAAGAAAGGAAGGAAGGAAGGAAGGAAGGGAGAGAGAAAGCAGGGAAGGAAGGAAGAAGGAAGGAAGGAAGGAAGGAAGGAAGGAAGGAAGGAAGGAAGGAAGGAAGGAAGGAAAGGAGAGAAATGAAGGGAGAGAAAGGAAGGAAGAGAGAGGAAGGAAGGAAGAGAGAGGAAGGAAGGAAGGAAGGAAGGAAGGAAGGAAGGAAGGAAGGAAGGATGGATGGATCACTGATGATGTTACCTAGTTGGGTCATGAAACATCTGGCAGAAAACCACCCAGCTCAGAGGGCACCAAGGACCTCACAATTCAATCCTGAACTATAAAGATTCTCTTCTATCCATAGAACAGAAAGTCCAAATGACTAATGGGCATTTTGAATTCTTTTTCAGGAAAACAGCTTGGCGAAACATCCAAAACATTTTACAATATTTGATAGCTGGTAGGAAATGATTATAACGTTAGCGTGGGTCTACGAAGCTACGATGTTGGACCTGGAGCTGGAAAACCCACACTGAATATTTCTTATTATTACAGTGCCATTGGAATACTTTGGGAAAACGTTCTGTCTGGATGGACCCTCGCAGAGTTACTAAGGAAAAAACTGGGAAGAGAAGGTCGTCAGGTTTATTGTTGTTTCGTTTTGTAGGTTTTTAAAATGGTTTTTATATCATTTTTTTTTAACCTTTGATTTAGAGCCACCTGGAATGAATTATCTGATAGAGAGGAGACCTCTAAAAAATGCTCTAAATGAAATAAATAAAAGTGTGAATCCATATTTAAACCTGACAAATGTGGGAGTTTTAAAAAGTATTAAATAAAAAACACCTTGAAGAGCTAAATTTACCAGAGACATATGGCTTACTTTGCAAGTGTAATTGAAGGAAGAAAAATATACACAAGCATATTCTTAACAACTACTCGTTGTTTCTCAGCTTTAATTGGGGAGCTTACGCCTGGAAGCCGCCAATATTACAGATGTACTAGCATAGCTTAAATCTGGAAGGTGTGTGTAGGTACGATAATACTGGATTTAAATCAATGATTAAAAGCATTCAGTTTCTGGCCCATGATTAATGCAAAATTAATGTTTATTTTTAAAGGCACAGCAATGTTAATTCTTATCTAATTCTTAATTCTTCTTTAATGTTACTGCCACCCTGTGACTCTCTCATTAGCAACTCCAAAAAAATCAAGGGGGGGATGCATTTTACTTTGAGAGCATCCTACAAGCTTTGGAATAGGATGTAGCTGTAAATACTTGCCATTAAAAAAAACAAAAGTAACAAGAGCAACCTTGAATATTTTCAAAGTCCAGAATGCCTAAAAGACAACTGATGATCAACCCTTGGGAGGTTCCCAAACCAGCTGGAAAAAAAAAATTGGAAGGTGTGTGTAGGTACGATAATACTGGATTTAAATCAGTGGTTAAAAGCATTCAGTTTCTGGCCCATGATTAATGCAAGATTAATGTTTATTTTTAAAGGCACAGCAATGTTAAGTCTTATCTAATTCTTAATTCTTCTTTAATGCTACTGCCACCCTGTGACTCTCTCATTAGCAACTCCAAAAAAATCAAGGGGGGGATGCATTTTACTTTGAGAGCATCCTACAAGCTTTGGAATAGGATGTAGCTGTAAATACTTGCCATTAAAAAAAACAAAAGTAACAAGAGCAACCTTGAATATTTTCAAAGTCCAGAATGCCTAAAAGACAACTGATGATCAACCCTTGGGAGGTTCCCAAACCAGCTGGAAAAAAAAAATTGGAAGGTGTGTGTAGGTACGATAATACTGGATTTAAATCAGTGGTTAAAAGCATTCAGTTTCTGGCCCATGATTAATGCAAGATTAATGTTTATTTTTAAAGGCACAGCAATGTTAATTCTTATCTAATTCTTAATTCTTCTTTAATGCTACTGCCACCCTGTGACTCTCTCATTAGCAACTCCAAAAAAATCAAGGGGGGGATGCATTTTACTTTGAGAGCATCCTACAAGCTTTGGAATAGGATGTAGCTGTAAATACTTGCCATTAAAAAAAACAAAAGTAACAAGAGCAACCTTGAATATTTTCAAAGTCCAGAATGCCTAAAAGACAACTGATGATCAACCCTTGGGAGGTTCCCAAACCAGCTGGAAAAAAAAAATTTGGAAGGTGTGTGTAGGTACGATAATACTGGATTTAAATCAGTGGTTAAAAGCATTCAGTTTCTGGCCCATGATTAATGCAAGATTAATGTTTATTTTTAAAGGCACAGCAATGTTAATTCTTATCTAATTCTTAATTCTTCTTTAATGCTACTGCCACCCTGTGACTCTCTCATTAGCAACTCCAAAAAAATCAAGGGGGGGATGCATTTTACTTTGAGAGCATCCTACAAGCTTTGGAATAGGATGTAGCTGTAAATACTTGCCATTAAAAAAAACAAAAGTAACAAGAGCAACCTTGAATATTTTCAAAGTCCAGAATGCCTAAAAGACAACTGATGATCAACCCTTGGTAGGTTCCCAAACCAGCTGGAAAAAAAAAATTTGGAAGGTGTGTGTAGGTACGATAATACTGGATTTAAATCAGTGGTTAAAAGCATTCAGTTTCTGGCCCATGATTAATGCAAGATTAATGTTTATTTTTAAAGGCACAGCAATGTTAATTCTTATTTAATTCTTAATTCTTCTTTTAACGCTACTGCCACCCTGTGACTCTCTCCCTGAACTGCAGCCCATTAGTAACTCCAAAAAATCAAGGTGGGGGGGGGGGATTCATTTTAATTTGAGAGCATCCTACAAGCTTTGGGATAGGATGTAGCTGTAAATACTTGCCATTAAAAAAAAAAAAAAGTAAAGAGAGCAAGTTTGAATATTTTCAAAGTCCAGAATGCCTAAAAGACAACTGATGATCAACCCTTGGGAGATTCCCAAACCGGCTGAAAAAAAAAAAGCTTAAGTAAATTGGGGTGGCTGAGTTTTAATTTCAAATAACAGTCAGCAGTTAACAAGTTTGCATATTTCAAATTAATTAATGTGCAAGGATTCATCTCTTAAATCCCTGGTCCTCTCTGTGCCCCCCCTCCAGGGTAGAACAGCTCAACCATTATCACTAAGGCACCTCTGGAGATAAAGAGATAAACCTCTGATAACTAATTTATTTATTTAGACAATTTATATAGCTCCCTACTGCTCACTGATTTCCTTTTTTTAAATTTAAATTTTTATTTAGTACAAAGAAAAAAAAAGGATTCAAAACACTGAACATGGTAAATCGTCTTTGACTGACATCTCAGTCCATATTGTACATTATTTACATATAATATACCTATATACAACTGTACATTTCTAGTCTCTATCTCAGTTTATCTTTACTGTGACCTCCTTTTTTCTGTCCCTCCATCTGTAAAATTTATTCCATATTTGATAAAATTCTGTTCCTGATTTTTTAATCTTTTTGTTATCCTATCTCAGTGGTTCTCAACCTGTGGGTCGGGACCCCATTTGGGGTCGAACGACCATTTCACGGGGGTCACCAAACAACGCAGTCCGCCATTCCCCCCCCTTTTCCTTAGCTGTGCTACTCCCTTTTATTCTATTGGCTTTTGAAAGCCAATAGAATAGACTCTCTTGAATAGAGTCTAATTCTATTGGCTTTCAAAAGCCAATAGGAATTGTCCAGGTTGTCTCTGCCCTGCTGAACCGGCCAAAAGTCCCATTCTGCAAACAGTGCTGCACCAGTTGAGTAGTCCTCGACTTACAACCAGTTGAGTAGTCCTCGACTTACGACCGGTTGGGGGTCGCAGCATTAAAAAGGTTGAGAACCACTGTCCTATCTAGTTCTGCGCAATACATAATTTTCTTTATTAGTGCTTCCCCACTCGGTACTTCCATTGCTTTCCACTTTTGAGCAAATAGTATCCTTGCTGCTGTGCAGTGATCCACTTAACAACTGGGGTAAGAAAAGTCCTAAAATGGGCCAAAACTCCCTTCAACAAATGTCTCACGTAACTGTATAAATTTTGAGCCCAATTGTCATCCTAAGCTGAGAACTACCTGTAATTATATTTATGACTTTCCTCTGAAAGCAGAACCAATAGTGAGAAATGCTCTTTTATACGATTTACTTCTTTGCAAATCAGTATTTCCCCCCACACACACACACACACACACTATTTCAATTAAAGCAACACTTCTTTTCCTGTAGCTTTTATCTATTTTTCACTCCTGCAAAGATTAGTTTCTGAAGAGACAATAGTGTATCATTTCTGGTAGAAACGTGAAAGCTAAATGAGAAATGAATTTTTCTCTTTCCATACGGGATATTTTGTTATACAGAGATTTTTTTTTCCCCTCTGTCAAACTTTTAAGGTGTCACATTAAGATAAAATATCTTCATTATTTTTTTTTCCCATTGCTGGTGGCCGTAAATATCTAGCATCCTGCATTTAGGTTAGCGTTCATTTCAGAATGGATATTAGCAATAATGTAAGATGGATTGAGTGTAAACTGGACTGTCTCTGGGCCCATTTTTTTTTACTTCTGCATTGTTTCCTTGCTTTCTTGAAAGGTTTTCGGCCAGATTGTGGGAGAATCCCACTTGCCCTGCAGGAGACGTTCTTGTAATGTGATCATCACCAAAAGGGAAAAAAAAAGATGACATCTTAAAGAATAGTTAAATAGTAAAATAAATGTCTGCTCAAAAGAATAATATTTTTTTAAAAAAAATAATAATTAAAAAAAACAAAAAGAAAAAAAGGAACCAGTGTTTCATTTAAAAGTCTTTCAATTTATTCTGGTCATGCCAAAAAAAAAAAAAAAAAAACCTCGAAGAAGTCCTGCAAAAACTAGTTTCGGATCCCACACAAATTAATTAAAATACATTAACCTGTTATTCAGCCTTGCTAGATATAGAATGTGATAGCCTCATGAGCTGCATAAATACACTAAATAATAATAATAATAATAATAATAATAATAATAATAATAATAATAATGATGATGATGTTGGAAGGGACCTTGGAGGTCATCTAGTCCAATCCCCTGCTCAGGCAGGAAACCCTATACCATTTCAGACAAATGGCTGTCCAGTCTCTTCTTAAAAACTTCCAGTGTTGGAGCATTCACTGCTCTGGAGGCAAGTGGTTCCACTGGTTAATTGTTCTACTCCATAAAAAAAAATACTGAATAACAGAATAAAAGAGCTGGAAGGAACCTTGGAGGTCATCTAGTCCAATCCCCTACTCAGGCAGGAAACCCTATGCCATTTCAGACAAATGGCTGTCCAATTTCTTCTTAAAAGCCTCCAGTGTTGGAGCACCCACAACTTCTAGTCGCAAGCTGTTCCACTGGTTAATTGTTCTCACTGTCAGGAAGTTTCTCCTTAGTTCCAGGTTGCTTCTCTCCTTGATGAGTTTCCACCCGTTGCTTCTTGTCCTGCCTTCAGGGGCTTTAGAGAATAGTTTGACTCCCTCTACTTTGGGGCAGCCCCTGAGATACTGGAAGACTGCTGTCATGTCACCCCTGGTCCTTCTTTTCATTAGGTTAGACATACCTAATTGGGTATGTAACAACGGCATTACAAAAAACAACTTAGGACCAGATGATCATAGTTATGATCCATGCGACATCTCCACGGTCACATGATCAAAATTCCTGGCAAATGACTCCTATTTATGACTGTCGCAGTGTCCCAGGGAGTCACGCGATCCCCTTCGGCGACCTTTTGACAAGAAAAGTCAATGGGGAGCAAGGCAAATCTGTTTAACAACCGTGCCACTAACTTAACCCCTGCAGTGATTCCCCCTGGCAAGAACGGTCGTAAAGCAGGGCAAAACTTTGCCAAACAGCTGCCTCGCTTAGCCAGGGAAACGCGGGTGGGCTCAATTTGTGCTCGTTCAGTTGAGGACGACGTGTGTTTTGCTTACTGACCTTAGCTTCCGGATCGCTGTTGACGCTACCGGGATCGGGTTCGTCACACTGCGGAGGATTTCTGTTGAATTAAAAAAAAAGAAAAGGAGAATCTTCTGTTAGATTAGACCAGTGGTTCTCAACCTTTTTAATGCCGCGACCCCTAACCGGTCGTAAGTCAAGGACTACTCAACCGGTCGTAAGTCGAGGACTACTCAACTGGTGCAGCACCGTTTGCAGACTGGGACTTTGGGCGGGCTCAGCAGGGCAGAGACAGCCTGGACAATTCCTATTGGCTTTTGAAAGCCAATAGAATTAGACTCTATTCAAGAGAGTCTATTCTATTGGCTTTCAAAAGCCAATGGAATAAAAGGGAGTAGCACAGCTAAGGAAAAGGGGGGGGAAATGGCGGCCTGCGTTGTTTGGCGACCCCCGTGAAATGGTCGTTCGACCCCAAATGGGGTCCTGACCCACAGGTTGAGAACCACTGGATTAGACCAAGCTTCCAATAGACATCGACAAAGTCAAAGAAATTCCAAATCACACCAAGGGACACCAAAGGGAGGGGAATGTTTTAAATCGGACACAGGTGGTTCCAAAATGCTGGACAGACAGTCCCAGAAAGATGCTGGCAGTACATTTCAGGATCTTTGGATGTGGTCCGGCACCACATTAGACAGCCCACCGCAGCGTAACGGAAATAGGATTGCGCGTTTTGTATTGAGCCGTAAGAATGCAATAAAAAAAAATTAACGGCCGATACAGCCGTCCGATAGGACACAGGACTTGGTTCGAGATAATTCGTCCTGACCTCTGTAACTGACAAGGTTAAACAACAACAACAGCAACAACGCACAGCTGAAAACTAAAGGAAAATGAAAAATTAAGCAAAGAGAAATCTCCACAGCCTGAATAATACTAATACTACTACTAATAATAATAATGGCCAGTACATTAAAAAAATAGCTGGGAAAGCAGATAATAACAAGACCTGGCAATGGCTAAGAGCAGGAAAATTGAAGAGATCGAGGGACTAATTCTGGCTGCACAAGACCAAGCCTTAAGGACAAATGCATATAAAGTCAAAATTGACAGTAAGTGCCGCCTATGCAAAGAAGCTGAAGAAACAGTGGACCATCTGGTAAGCTGCTGCAAGAAGATTGCACAGACTGACTACAAGCAGCGGCATGACAAAGTAGCAACAATGGTGCATTGGAAGATCTGCAAAAAATATCATTTGCCTGTAAGCAAAAACTGGTGGGATCATAAAATAGAGAAAGTCATAGAAAATGATAAAATTAAACTGCTCTGGGACTTCAGAATTCAAACAGACAAGCACCTGCAACATAACACCCCAGACTTAACAATTGTCGATAAGAAAGACAAAAAAGTCTGGATAGTGGACGTGGCAGTGCCTGGAGACAGCAGAATAGAAGAGAAAGAACTGGAGAAGATAACAAAATACAAAGACCTACAAATAGAAATAGAAAGATTGTGGCAAAAGCAAGCAAGGGTAGTACCAATAGTCATAGGCTCCTTGGGTGCAATCCCAAAACAACTGGAGCACCACTTGAACACCATTGGCATTGACAAATTCGCTATTAGTCAATTGCAAAAGGCGGCCTTATTAGGAACTGCTTCCATCCTGCGACGATATCTGTAATACCATCAAACATCCACATCTGCCTATCCCAGGTCCTGGGTAAGGACTCGATAGGTAGACAAAATGCCAAATCCAGTCTGAACATCTGGCTGACTGTGCGATGATCCATAATAATAATATGCCCATCCCAGGTCCTTGGTAAGGACTCAATAGATAGACAAAATTGCCAAATCCAGTCTGAACATCTGGCTGACTGTGCAATGATCAATAATAATAGTAATTCCTTTCCTTCTTTCTAACACTCCTTTGTGGAAATGAACAGATCTGTGGTAAAAAATGGGCAGCCAATAAATTTGATAGATAGATAAATAAATAAAAATAATCATCCTCAAATTCAGGTAGTCTTCAGCTAACAACTGCAATGGAACCTGGCCATTACAGTCTTAAGTCCCCCCCCTCCCGTGAACTTTGCTTGTTGGAAGACAGGTGGGGAGGTTGCAAATGGTGATCACATCACACACACACACACACACACACACACACACACACACAGAGGATGCTGCAACTGTTATAATTACATGCTGGGTTGCCAAGCGCCCACATCCTGATCCTGTAACCCTGGGCACACGGTAAAGGTTGTAAGTTTGAGGACCAGTTGCAAATAATGTTTTTTTTTCCATCACAACTTTGAACGGTGCGCTAAACAAATGATTGCAAGCCGAGCGCTACTTGTGCAAGCAAAGGAATTTCTGTAGGAGAGGAAGAGGCGGAATCTGGGGTTGGAGTCAAAAGAGGAATCAGCCTGGAATCATTACATTGCCGTAAGTGGTCTATGTCGGAGGTCCCCAACCTGTGGGCCACAGCCCCACTACAGGTCTGGGGCCTATTTGCAACTGGGCTGCGCGAGTGGCTGGCTGATGCGGGTACGTGCATGTGCACAGCCCCACTCACGCGAGAGTCGTGGGCGCTCGGGGCCTCACTCGTGCAAGCATCACAGGGGCTCTCGGCCCCCACGTGCGTCTCAGGTGCTTGCAGCGTCATGGGGGCTCTCGGCCCCATTTGAGCAACGGGTGCTCCTGCACACGGAAGCGCACGTTCAAGCGCCTACCCCTCCCACAAAACCATCCCCTCTTTCCCCCCCCTTGCCCCCTCCCCAGGAAGGTTGGGGAACTCTGGTTTAAGTCCAACCCCCTTTGAATTCTGTTGACTTTTATCCAGCACCAATTTAGCGCTGTCAGTTGACCAGATTCTTTGAGCACTACATCGTCGTACGTGGGGCGCAACGCGGTGGTCCCGGTTTTTCACCCCTGACTATCTTGCCACCTTCTCCACCAACACCCCCTCTTTCTCACCTGAGCTTCAGGGAAGCGTATCGTAAAGTAGCCCCTTCAAACTCTTTCAAACTGGGGTCTGGGTTCACGGTGGCTGCGTGAAGGTCCTGCGGGAGGATGAAAAACAGCGTGTTAAGCCTGCTTGACCCAGAGCACCTCTCCCTTCTTAAAGAGGGGCGGAAAACATATATATATACTCGGCAGACACAAGCATGCATGCGTTGTTCACAGCACAATTGTTAAGGGCAAGCACGTGTGGATGACAAATGAGCAAATTCAGGCTGTGTGGGGGGGGGAACCCGTTTTTTGGAGGGATCCAACCTGGCTTGGCAAAGCTCACATTCATTTGGCTGATTTGTTATCATGAGTGATATTTGGAGGGGAGGGGGAGAGAGAACAGCCCACACAGCTACAGCCATGCAAAATGCAAATCATAATTTATTTTTTTTACCCCCCCCCCCAAAAAAAAAGAAAAAGAAGCTGAAATGAGTATCAAAAGCTCTTTGAAAAAATCTGACCGGATACTTGCCTTCCAAATGTCACTATTAATCTTTGCCCCGTTCAGCACCGCAAAATCACTCCAGGGCTGTTTCTAGATATATGTATATATATACATATATATGTATATATTCACACAGGAAGAAGCATATTGATTTTTTTTAAAAAAAAAATAGATAAACAAACAGGAGGGGCACGGAAAGAGAGGAAGGGGGGAGGGAAAAAAAACACAGAAACACCTTTGTTAGCACCGATATTTAAAGGCCAGGTTAGGGAACATAACACCTCAAATTGCACGGAGATGTAATTTACGGGCAAAGCAGAGCTGGCTCAAAGCGGGAGGCCCGAACAACTGTGCACAACCCCAGGTAAACAACACAAAACACAATGCACTGCCCACTCTCTGTGGCTGTAGTTACTGGTAGGCCAAAAGAATGGTTAAGTGTCGCGATCAAATGTTTAGCCAACACATTTTTACAGAGGTGAATCCAAAGCTGGTTGCCTAGCTTGGCCCTCTCTGACCCAGTCCCAATATAATGATATTTGGAAGTGGGGGGGGGGGGTAAAGCAAATGTTGCCAAAGGTTATTTTGCAGACCGCTTGTAAATCAGGGAACGTACCAGGAGACTCCTTTATACGGAGTAGGTTTTCCTTTGCTGTCAATCCCTACACATGGTGTAACGCAGTGGTGTCGAACCTGTGGCACGGGTTCCAGAGGCGGCACTCAGAGCCCTCTCTGTGGACACGCACGCCGTCGTCCCAGTCCTGGGCCTTCAGCTGGGTTTTATAAAACCTTTTCGCTTTAGACCTCCGCCACCATGTGCAAAAAAGGTTCAATCAGTCAATTTCAACTTCTCCTGGGAAAAAAAAGTTCTTGCAAAGTTGGAATTGATTGATTGAACTTTTTAGTCCCACCCAGTCTGCCGTTATCACCGCAGCCACGCCCAACCAATGGGCCACGCCGACCTAATGGGCCACACCCAGCCAATGGGCCACACCCACCCGGCACCCGACGATGCGTAAGTGGGTTTTGGGTTGCAGTTTGGCCACTCGGTCTCTATAAGGTTCGCCATCACTGGTGTAACGTAACTGAATTTTCTTGTCTTTCTTTTTTTAGCCATAATGGCCTTTAAAAAAAAAAAAAAGCAGGGCTTTAGGATAATCATGGTCTCTTGTTCACTACTTCAGCCCTGGTGAAATGGCCTTCATCGCCATGGATGGGGATTGTGTGATGTAGATATGTCCAGCATAGGGCTGACTATGGGGTCCCTTGGTGCTCTTCAAGCCGGGCGCTTTTCTTGCAGGCGTTTCATGAGCTATCTAGATAATGTTATCAGTGCTACAAGGGAGTGGGGCTTGTGGACCAGAGAAGGAGGGAGGGAGGGAGGGAGGGAGGGAGGGAGGGAGGGAGGGAGGGAGGATGATGATGATGATGATGTTACCTAGTTGGGTCACAAAACATCCGCAAGAAAACCACCAAGCTCAGAGAGCACCAACGACCAAGCTTTGCTTGTTGCGTCTTTTCTGGCACTATACCTAATTTTAAAAAGTTCCGGTTTAAAATCTGCATGTTCTCCCAACATCTTTTCGAGCCAGGTATGTATTTTTTCCCAATAGTTCTTTACTTTGTCGCAGGTCCACCAAACAGGATAATACGCGCCTGACTTATGCGTACATTTCCAACATCTATCTGACATGTTTACTGCAGGCCACTTTAGCTGACTGTGTTCAGCAGGTCAGCGGTTCAAATCTCACCAGCTCAAGGTTGACTCAGCCTTCCATCCTTCCAGGGTAGGTAAAATGAGGACCCAGATTGTTGGGGGCAATGTAAATATATATATACATTGCTTACTGGTGTACACCGCTTAGAGAGTGCTTGCACTTAAAGCGGTATATAAGTCTCATAAATAAATAAATAAATAAATTTTTGCAAGTCCTGCGGGTGGCAAGTGCCATCGGTGGGACATTTCATATCAGCTTTCTTTGTAGGAAGTTGACATTGTCAATGGACAGTTTCTTTCCCATACATTCTGCCGTTTTTCTAATTCTATATTGGATCCAAATTTTTTCGCCGATCTTATCCTTGTTTCTTTAACTTGTTCGCTTTTCCATTTTCAAAGTGAACAGCAACTGACTCCTATTTATGACCACTGTCCCAGGATCGTGTGAACTCTTTTTGCGACCTTGGGACAAGCAAAATAAACGGGGAAGCCAGATTCACTTAACAACTGTGTTACTAAGTTAGTGATTCGCTCAGCCACCGTTAGGTGATATTAAATGGGGTAAAACTCACTTAACAAACGTCTCACTTAACAACAGAAACTTTAGCCTCAGTTCTGGTTGTAATTTGAGGACTGCCTGTATTTTAAGTAATTAAAATGATGTAAAACAATTAAAAGCTATTATTAGGTGTTGATTATGGTGGGAGAAAATTGGAGGAGAAAGTTGTGCTGGATATGTTCGCGGCCTCGTGTCACTGGCAAAAAGTAATAATGGCGGGATCGAAATAAATAAAATATATATATCAGCAAACAGTCTGGAATCCCATCAGATCGAGGGAGGCGGTGAATAAACCCCATTAATTAAGAAAGCTATACATTTCATACATTGTCTGATAAAAAAAAATCGTGAAGGTGACAATATGTGGTTGCAATAATTCGCAACCTAACAAGGAGTCGTAACGGGGCAATAGCTCCTATTGTGGATCTTCTGAAGATAAATGGCATTGTACACCGATGTTCTGTGATTTATTAAGTATTATGTTTTGTGAATATTCTTTTATTGATCACAGATATTTGTTAGATAATAGGGGTAATTTCTAATACTACCGATTTTATCCGTGCAAAAACCCAGCATGCATCAAGGGGAAAAAGGCAATCACTTGAGGGATATTGACAGTTGATGGGTTTGCCTTAATTAATAATAATAATAATAATAATAATAATAATAATAATAGTAATATTAGTAGTAGTAACGACAACAACAATAATAATAATAATAGGAAGACTGTGGCAAAAGCAAGTAAGGTTATACCAATAGTAATAGGCACTTTGGGTGCAATCCTAAAACAACTGGAGCACCACTTGAACACCATCGGCATTGACAAATCTGCCATTAGTCAATTGCAAAAGGCAGCCTTACTAGGAACTGCTTCCATCCTGCGATGAGATCTATAATACCATCAAACATCCACATCTGCCTATCCCGGGTCCTGGGTAAGGACTCGATAGGTAGACACAAATGCCAAATCCAGTCTGAACATCTGGCTGACTGTGTTGATGATCCTCAATAATAACAATAATAAAGTTGGAAGGGACCTTGGAGGTCATCTAGTCCAACCCCCTGTCTAAAATAAACTTATGGAATTGTTTGTTTTTCTTTTAAAAAAAATGTCATATTCATTTAAAACATGGTTTACTCTCCGATTGTAGGAGGCATTCAACCTTACCTCCGTTTCTGGACTAGGCGAGGAGGTGAGAGAACTCAAGGAACCGTTCCTTGATCCCTGAAGATCCGTGGGCGCCGAGATGGGGCGCTCCCATTGGGTGGTCCCTGTGGGTATGTGCCAGTAATAGACCCCCGCTATATCGCTGATCTTCTTCCAACCCGGTGGGAGGTCAGGATCGGACTGGAATGAGTGGTCGCTCCAAATATCTGCTGGGAAGAAGAATCCACCAAAAAAAAGTCTCTTTTAACTGCGAAGGTTCAAGAAATTGGGGGGTAGGGGAAAGCATCTAATACAGTGGTTTTCTCAACCTGTGGGTCGGGACCCCATTTGGCGTCGAACGACTATTTCACGGGGGTCGCCAAACAACGCAGTCCGCCATTTTTCCCCCCTTTTCCTTAGCTGTGCTACTCCCTTTTATTCTATTGGCTTTCGAAAGCCAATAGAATAGACTCTCTTGAACAGAGTCTAATTCTATTGGCTTTCAAAAGCCAATAGGAATAGTCCAGGCTGTCTCTGCCCTGCTGAGCCCGCCAAAAGTCCCATTCTGCAAACGGTGCTGCACCAGTTGAGTAGTCCTCGACTTACGACCGGTTGAGTAGTCCTCGACTTACAAGCGGTTGGGGGTCGCGGCATTAAAAAGGTTGAGAATCGCTGGTCTAATACTTGCAAAATGACCATTGTCTATGCAGATTCTCAACCATCCGGGTCAAGGTTGTCCCAAAAGCACTCCCTTGAAAGGCAACTGGACTTTTTTTTTTTCTTGAAGAAGTTTCGCTTCCCATCCTAGAAGCTTCTTCCGTTTCGGACTGAACGGCGGAGGCTGGAAAGATTTACATTCCTTGCAGTCATCTGGTCGTTAGTACGGCTGAACTTCCCGCCGTTCCAAGAAGGCTCCAAACACCCGTTTGCACTACTCAGGTGACCCTTGAGGGCAGAGGTAAACCTCCAAGGGGTCTCCACGGCTCTCCGAAAGAGCGCGAACGTCCAGAGGACTGCGAGGGATAGAAATCCTTCCCTCCTCCGCCATTCGGTCAGAACGGAAGAAGCTTCTCGGATGAGTAGCGAAACGCCTTCGAGGGAAAGCAAAGTCCAGCTGCCTTTCGCAAAAGCATCTTGGTCGCAAAATGACCATCCTGTCAGCAAAGCAAGGCTCACCGTTTCCGAAATGTTTCTTCAGCTAATCAGAAAAAGGTGAGCAAAAAAAAAAAAAAAGCAAGTCGGAGCAGGAACAACTTTCGACTTCCCGCTGCCTTTCCCAATGAGTTCGTTTCTTCGTGGGAAGCTGGCAGGGAGCATTGGGAATTATAGTCACGTACATGACCACGGTCAAGCACGATGCTGCAGTTGCACTGAAGCATCCACACTTTTGCCAAATTTCAACGCGCTCTGAATTTTGGACGCATTCTGTACAATAGTACCTACGTTATTGGGCACCCAACTTCCAAATAAGTTCCATCAATTTAGAAACAGCAAGGAAAGGCTAATTCAAGAATGGGAGAGCTCTGTCTAAAACGACCGGGCTGTTTGAAACTAATTTGCCCAATGAAGTTATAATAATAATAACAACAACAACAACAACAACAATAATAATGTAGACAAAATGCCAAATCCAGTCTGAACATCTGGCTGACTGTGCGATGATCCATAATAAAGTTGGAAGGGACCTTGGAGGTCATCAAGTCCAACCCCCTGCTCAGGCAGGTAACCCTACACCATTTCGGACAAATGGCTGTCCAGTCTCTTCTTAAAAACTTCCAGTGTTGGAGCATTCACTGCTTCTGGAGGCAGGTTGTTCCACTGGTTAATTGTTCTAACTGTCAGGAAGTTTCTCCTTAGTTCTATCTAGGTTGCTTCTCTTCTTGCTTAGTTTCCATCCGTTGCTTCTTGTTCTGCCTTCAGGTGCTTTGGAGAATAGCTTGACTCCCTCTTCTTTGTGGCAGCCCCTGAGATACTGGAACACTGCTATTATGTCCCCCCACGTCCTTCTCTTCGTTAAACTAGACATCCCCAATTCCAGCAATTGTTCCTTATATATTTTAGCCTCCAGTCCCCTGATCATCTTTGTTGCTCTTCTCTGTACTCTTTCTAGATTTTCAACATCTTTTTTATAATTGAAAAGTTTTATAAAAATTACAGTATACACCCCAAAACCCACCCACCCTAAACCCTCCCCTCTCCTTCCCCCACTTCCCAGAGCTGAGTACAGGGTTACAAATATAATAATCAAACTCTAACTAACATTAACCAACTATATAAATAACCAAGTCCGTAATGCGCTTTAACTCCCCTTTAACATAAATATAAACAAATTAAAAATAAACATAATAATATAAACAAGTCGATATTATTAAACAATACAATATCCAAATTGTTAAACAATACTAATACTAAAAATAATAATAAAACTAATAAAAATTTAACTATAATAAACTAATAATAATAATAATACTCTAAAATTTACACATAAACTAAATGTAACTTTTTAGTCCAGTGGTTCTCAATCTTTTTAATGCCGCGACCCCTAACCGGTCGTAAGTCGAGGACTACCCAACCGGTCGTAAGTCGAGGACTACCCAACCGGTCGTAAGTCGAGGACTTTCCCTGCTCGGGAGCGCCGCGCATGCGTGGTGCCGCCCCCTGTGCCGGCCGAAGCGTAGCTGGCAAGCGGCAGAGATGGAGCAGGCCGACCACCGGCTGGGCCGCCAGCTGGCCCAGCCCAAGGGAGGTAAGGCACCCGCCGGGCCCCATGCGTGCCAGCAACCCTCCCTGCGCCCACCGGCCTCCCACCTCTGGCCCTCTTTTCCTTACATTTTTAGTAGTTGCTCAGCAGGGAGGGGTGGAAGCTTCCAGACAGCTCGCCTTCGCTGCAGACGACTTGCAGCACCGTTTGCAGAAGGGGACTTTTGGCGGGCTCAGCAGGGCAGAGACAGCCTGGACAATTCCTATTGGCTTTGAAAGCCAATAGAATTAGACTCTATTCAAGAGAGTCTATTCTATTGGCTTTCAAAAGCCAATAGAATAAAAGGGAGGAGCACAGCTAAGGAAAAGGGGGGGGAAATGGCGGACTGCGTTGTTTGGCGACCCCCGTGAAATGGTCGTTCGACCCCAAATGGGGTCCCGACCCACAGGTTGAGAACCACTGATTTAGTCCCATATTTATTCTGAATATAATCTATCCATCTTCTCCAGACCGAAATGTATCTTTCTTGTAATTTCAACATATTTTTTACTGGTGCTAGGCACTCCCAGTTGTGTGACGCACAAGAGATATGGCAATAATTTGGTCCCTTAATATCGTAAAAAAACTAGCTATGGAGCCAGGAAAATGAATCAGTGCAATTCCAGCTCAGATAACAAAACCCTGTGAAGGCAAAAATTATACAAAGCTGCTCATAATGGGTGATTTTTCCTCCCCCCCCCATATCAAGCAACTGAACAAAGATGAAAGGAACACAGCAATAATTGTTCACGGTTTACAGCCTGGCACACCAGAAACAAATTAGAAATTCAATTTCTTTCACTTGGAAATAAAATGCAAAACAAGTGTCCCGGCTAAGCCAGAAAAAAAAAAACAGTGTAAATGAAACTAATAAAAGGCAACGTGGAAATGAAAGCAACTTCGCCATTACAGTCACAAACCTTTCCAATTCTCCCCCCCCAAAAAAGACAAAATGTATCTGGGAGACTCTGGCTAAGGGCAATGCCAACTTATTGAATCAAAATGAGGACGGATTCCTTCGATTTGCAGGTCGTCCTCAACTTACGACCGCAACGTTTCCGTTGCTAAGTGAGACATTTGGTGTTCAGTCAATTTTGCCCCACTTTATGACTTTCCTTGCCCCAGTTGTTAAGTGAATCACTGCAATCGTTAAGTTGTGAAGTGAGCACCCACATACACATAACAAATAAATATTAAATACTGTCCATCTTAAATATATAATGGAAGGAGGATGCTTTATTACCCATTCGGCTAATTAAAGCCACAGTTGCTGACAAATGGAAGTGGGACCAAGTAGGGCCTGATGGATGGACAAATATATTCGCTCTGATTTACGGAAGTAAAAAAAAAAAATGTACAAATCCATTAGGACTGGCCCATCTCCCCCCCTCTCTCCCAATCCGTTCCAACTTCACGTTTAGTTATTGCTGATGACAAATCATATTTCACGCAGTAGCCTTCAATAATACCCAAAGACAATATACATTCCAAGTGAGGTTCCCAAGCTCTTAAAGCAGTGTTTCTCAACCTCAACCCATCCATCAGAATACAGCTGGAAGGGACCTTGGAGGTCTTCTAGTCCCACCCCCTGCTCCAGCAGCAGACTGTGGTGGCGAACCTATGGCACGGGTGCCAGAGGCGGCACTCAGAGCCCTCTCTGTGGGCACGCGCGCCGTCGTCCCAGTCCTAGGCCTTCAGCTGGGTTTTATAAAACCTTTTCGCTTTAGGCCTCCGCTGCTGTGTGCAAAAAAAAAAAAAGGTTCAATCAGTCAATTTGAACTTCTTGCGGGGAAAAAAAAAAGATCTCGCAAACTTGGAATTGATTGATTGAACTTTTTAGTCCCGCCCAGTCTGCCGTTACCACCACAGCCACGCCCACCCAATGAGCCACACCCACCCAATGGGCTACACCCACCCGGCACCCGACGATGCATAAGTGGGTTTTGGGTTGCAGTTTGGGCACTCGGTCTCTAAAAGGTTCACCATCACTGTCCTAAGTGGAATTTTCCTCCAATGGGATTTTCCCATGTATTTTACCAGGAAAGATAGATAGGGCAGGCTAGAAAAGTCAGTGCCCTCCTAACCATACCCAAGCACTCCGAGTTTGTTGGCAATGTCCATTTTGCTCTATGAGTTCATGGTGACGTAACCCTAACCCTAAGACTTAGAGAATGGAATGGAATGGAATGGAGTGGAGTGGAATAAATATTGGAATATGGAATGGAATGGAATAAATATTGGAATATGGAATAGAATAGAATAGAATAGAATAGAATAGAATAGAATAGAATAGAATAGAATAGAATAGAATAGAATAGAATAGAATATATTGAACAGAACAGAACAGAATAGAATAAAAAATATGAAGTGGAGTGGAGTGGAATGAAATAGAATAGAATAGAATAGAATAGTATAGAATAGAATAGAATAGAATAGAATAGAATAGAATAGAATAGAATAGAGTTGGAAGGGACCATGGAGGTCATCTAG